CTAAAAAGGATTTTGTAGAAGGAGAAGTCCAAATATCTAAAGTAAATGAAATTTTTCCAGAAATATTTTGAAAAAAATTTTGTACTTTAACTCTATTTATTTCATAAGCATTTATTATATTTCTTTTAATTGTATCAGCAAAAGGAATTTTTGTATTAGGACGAATTGAATGTATAAGATTAATAAAACTAAATTCTTCAACAATAGTAAAAGGATGTTGATTTATTACAATCCAATAAAAAAGTTTTGTAACCATTTCATTATCATTATATGTCCACTAATTAATAAATTTATTATTAATAATATATAATAAAAAAATAAATAAATAAATAAATAAAAAATTACCTTTTTATTACCAAACATCTCTGCAATACTTAAACCTTATTTTTGATTTTCTTCTATTTGTATAGAATGATTCTTCAAATGTTTTGATAAATTAGAAGTACTGCTGTCAGAACATTTATATACTTTATGACAAATATTACAAACAGCCTTTTTATTTGTTTTAAAATTAATATCTTTTGTAAAATGCAACCATGCTTGACTTGTCTTATCTTTAATTAATTTTTGAGGGGAATTTGATTTTGAAATAATCTCAGTTTCTGAACCTTGATTATCATCATTATGATCATCATCAACAATAACAATGGGTTCCATTATTTAAACTTAAAAAATTAAAAATAATAATTAAATTAAATTTTTAAATCAAATTAAATTGTGATAATTTTAATTTAATTAAAATTTAATTAAATGAACGAGCAAAGGAATAAACGAAAGGAAGATGAAAGGAAAGCGATGGAAAGTAAAACAATGATGAAGGGAAAAACAAAAGGGAAGAATTAGACAACGAAAGAAGAAGGAGACAATGAAAAGAAAGGTGACAAAAGGAAGATGAAAGGGAGTGATGAAGGAGATGACGAAAGTAAGACGAGATGAAGGGGAAGACAAAAGGAAAGAATTAGACAATGAAGGGAAGAAGTAGACAATGAAGGGAAGAAGGAGACAACGAAAAGAAAGGTAACGAAAGGAAGATGAAACGGAGTGATGAAGGAGATGACAAAAAGAAAAAGGCAATAAAGAAGAAAAAGGTTAGTAAATTTTTTTTTTAAATTAAAATAAATTATTAAAAAAACTTACCTAATGTATATTTTTATAAAAGAAATCCTCTTGAAGAATTAAGAAAAAACCGTCCTATAAAAAAGAAAAAAAACAAAAATTAAATAAAAGGAAGACGAAGGAAAAGCGAAAAGAAATAAGATAACGATGAAGGGAAAGACAAAAGGAAAGAATTAGATGATGAAGGCAAAAAAATGATGACAAAGGAGATGGTAACGAAAAGAAGGTGAAAGTGACGAAAAAAAAGATGATAAAAAGAAGAATGATGAAGGAGAAGACAAAAAGAAAAAAAGCAATATAGAAAGAAAGAAAAAAAAGGTTAGTTAATTATTTTTTTTTTAAATTAAAAAAAATTATTAAAAAAAACTTACCTAATGTATATTTTTATAAAAGAAATCCTCTTGCTTGGGATTAAGAAACAACCATCCTAAAAAAAAGAAAAAAGACAAATTAAATGAAAGGAAGACGAAGGAAAAGCGAAGAAAAATAATATAATGATGAAGGGGAAGACAAAAGGGAAGAATTAAATGACGAAGGCAAAAAGAAGACAACGAAGGGGATGGTGACGAAAGGGAAGGGGATGGTGACGAAAGGGAAGGGAAAGGTGATGAAAAGGAAGAGGAAAGTGAAGGTGACGAAAGGGAAGGGAAGGTGATGAGAAAGAAGATGAAAAAGAGTGATAAAGGAGAAGACCAAAAGAAAAGGCAATAAAAGAAGAAAGAAAAAAAGGTTAGTAAATTATTTTTTTAAATTAAATTAAAAAAAAATTAAAAAAAATTTACTAAAAAATTTTTTTTATAAAAGAATCCTCCCTTTTGCTTGGAATTAATTAAGAAACAACTGTCCTAAAAAAAGAAAAAAAGAAAAACAAAAAAAAAAACGAAACGAAGACAAAAAGAAGACGAAGGAAATTAAATGACAATGAAGAAAAGACAAAAAAAATAAAAAGATGACAACTGAGAAGAAGGAAACGATAAAGGAATAAAAAAGAAAAAGCAAAAGAATAAGGTAAGTAAATTATTATTTATATTTTAAATTAACAAAAAAAAAAAATTAAAAAAGACTTACTTAATTTAAAGAGCCCTTTTGCTTAGAGAATTAAGAAAAACCGTCCTAAAAATATAAAAGCAAAAGAGAAGGAAATAAACGAAGGAAGATAAAACGATAATGAAGAGAATGATAAAAGAACAGGAAAAATGATGAGGAAAAAAAACCCCGATAAAAAGGAAGATAAATGAAAAGAAGAAGGAAAAGATAAGAAAAAAAAAGATAAGTATATTATTTTATTTATTTAAATTTAAAAAAAATTTGAATTAACTAACCTAATTTTTTTTCTTTGGAATTACAACTCAACCGCCCTAAAAAAAAAGAAAAAAGACGATAAAGGGGAGAAATTAAAATATCCCGCTTCTGTTATAAACGCTAGCCAATCTAACTTTTCCCCACTCACTCTCATAATACTTTTCTCCGTAACGAAAAGAAGATGAAGGGGAAAGACGAAGTGGAAAAAGAAGGGGAAAAAGAAGGGGAAAACGAAGAGAATATGAAGGGAAAGATGAAGGGGAAGACGAAAAGAAAGATGAAGGGGAAGACGAAGAGGAAAACATAGGAGAAAACAAAGGGAAAGATGAAAGGAAAATAAAGGGAAAATGAAGGAGACAACGAAAAGGAAAATTAATAAGGAGAAAAGACAAAAAGGCGAAGAAAAAAAAAACAGGATGAAGCGAGAAAAGACGAAGGCAAAAAAATGAAGTAAAGTGGAGACGAAAACAGATATTTTTTATTATAATTTAAAAAAAAAATTTAAAAAAATTTTTTTTTAATGTATTGAAAATTAAAAAAAAAAATGTAAAATAAGTTTTTAAAGTTCTTGCTTTTAATATAAATAAAAGTAAGAATGTAACACAATTATAAATAGGATTTCAGATCAGACCCAAATTCAAATTCGACAGATTCGATTTGAATTTTATAAATTTGATTCGAATTCGATCTGAATTTTATAAATCTGATTCGAATTTGATAAATCAGATTTAGTTTGAATCCGATTCGAATCTGAAGGTTCAGATTGAATCAGATTCGGATCGAATCAGATTTTTTGCAGAACCCTATTGCTTTGCATTTTTCTGATTCGTTATAATATTTAAAATCAATAAATTTACACAAAATAGTGTTTTGAATATGTAATACATTACACAAAAATTAAATCAAATCCAAATATAGTGATTGATCATAAGTCATGATGCAATTTGAAATGCTATTCAATACAAATACTGTTCTCACAATTCACAGCATAATGGACATTTGATTTTCTAGCGATATTATTGGTTGAAATTTGTGATAATCATTTTTGAAATATTACATAAATAATTAATTTTATTGGTCTGAAATTGATCGTTATAATATTTACCAAAAAAAGATAGGCTAATTTTTTGGTTATAATACTATTTCAGCTTTTATTTAAAATTATATTTTTCAGCTTTTTTTAATAAAATTTATATAAAATTTTTTTGAATTCTAATAATGGTCTATGTAAAGTTAAGGATTGTAATAAAAATGATCCAAATATATATAAA